CACCTGTTTTAGCTTTGAATGTATGGGGGTGGTGGGGTGGGGGGTCCTTGAGGTTTGTTGAGCAGCAGTTTGATAGGTTGACAATTCAGCAGGTTGCTTTGCTTTCCACACGGTGACAGAAGAGGGAGAGAGGGACATAGATGAGTGTGAGTGTGTCTGTATTGGCACACACAATCGCATGTCCTGTCCTTTGTGTGTGTGTGTGTGTGTGTGTGTGTGTGTGTGTGTGTGTGTGTGTGTGTGTNACAGAGCCAAGTTGAGATTTTTTTTTTTTTCACGCCACCCCTCTTCTACCGAACCCATTAGCCAATCCCTGGGCCCGTAATTAGGGCTGCCATTTTGATTGAGCGTGCGTGTCGCTCTCCAAATGAAACAACACTGTAATTATCTCATTATGCCTTGGCCTCCATCACTGACAACGGCAAATATTATCATATTAATGGCTGAAGACGGAGGCTGATTCTGGATAAAACATTGGAAAAGGGGGTGGGGGGGGGGGGGTTGGGGAGGAGAGGGAGGGGGTGGGAGATGAGCACCTTATGGAGATGTTTGGATATGATGGAGAGGCGATATATCGTCACCAATGTATTCCGGAGAGGAACTAGTAGTGAAGTTTATTCGTGCACCAACCATTCTGCACTTGGATCAAATCTTGGATGATGAAAAGTCAGTAACGGTGTACAGGAAAGGGAAGAGGAGGGACATAGGATGAGTGTGAGTGTGTCTGTAAACTTGCACAACAAAATCGCATATGTCCTGTCTTGTGTGTGTGTGTGTGTGTGTGTGTATTGTGTGTAGTGCTGTGTGGGTGTGTGTGTGTTTGGTGTTCAGACTGAGACGGGTAGGCTCCGCTGTTGTCATCAGCAGCTAATAACTGCTGATGATTACCTGTCTACAGGCCTGAAGCTACTTGCTATAAACACAACTCACCTAAGCTATAGTGATGTACAATTATCTCGGTGGAGCAGTGTGATATGAGACTATTTGCGACATGAAGACAGAAGGAAGGAGAGTCAGCCGCCATCCAAATGGGCTGACCAGCTGGGAGACAGAGTTAGCATTGCTTAGATTATATGTGATGTCCATGAAAAACTTTCAGAAACTAAACAAGAAATAAAAATACAGAAGTAGGACCCGGGTCGTGATAAAACAGGGTTAACCTTTTCAGCTGGATTGTGCAGGGAAGCAGAGACTGTACTTTGATTTCCTTTAAACAAATGCTTCCATACGTGATACATGGGGGTCTCAGACTGACATGTAAATCTTCTAGACTACAACTAATCAATAAATCAATAACAAGCCTTATTTTGCTACGTTGGCTCAACCACAGGAGTTGATACCACTTGAATCAGATGAGTTATTCCTCCAAGTATCACATTTCATCCATATTTCAGAGTATCTGACTATGCAGGTTGATCTGACGGCGCACTGAGAGAAGGAAAACTGGAGGAGGATGGAGACTGAGGGAGGAGAGGGAGAAGATGAGACACAAGAACAGGAAATGAAAGATGCGTCAGAAGACAGAATGAGAGCAAAGCCAAACAGCAACACAAAGACAGAGATGGAAACTTGGAAAAGAGTGAAAGAAAGAGCAGGAGAACTGGAGTGAGAACAAAAACCGACTGTCATATGAAAGGGAAGAGTGTGTGTGAGACAAGCAACTATCCCGTGGTGTTAGCCAGTGTGAGGGCAGACTAATTAGGAAGTGTGTGCCGCCGCCGGCAGGTTTGGTGACTTCTTCTTGCTGTGGCTAGCTGAATTAAACACAACACACTGGGGGGAAAATAGCTCAGGAAGGCAGGTTTTTCTGCTGTCTGCATGCTGGAGGTAAGCACACATCAAAGAGCGTGGTCAATGTTTAGTTTCCTGTTGTAATATTGGGAATAGAGTTGGACAGAAACTCAGTGGAGCTCCAAAATGGGAAGCAATGGGAAAACAAAGAGGGTTTTTTTTTTGTGCTGACAGAGATGTAGCGCTTTATACTCCTGCTGAACTCTGGTCAGTTATCAGCCCGCTTTGAGTCTCACTGAAACCTGCAGGAAAGGCTTCTATGATGGCACACTCGGAGCAAACCGAATCAGAAGTGGTCGTTGTCGTTTATGCAAAGATAACAACAGATCTAACTTGAAGCCCTAGACAATATATCAGAGGAGGCCTGAATACCAATGTTCTGATCATTTAAAGGGATAATTTAGTAAACTAGTTTTGCAATGGGAAATTATGAAAAACAGATATAAAAAAAATAAAAAATAGATAAAGAAATAATTGATGGAATAAGAATGAAACAGACATTTCTAATCCTCTTTAAATGTATCGTCTTCCAAAGGGAAATTTCCCTTTTTCCCAAAATTATCTTCCGACTTGTGAAAAGATATTGATAAAAATCCTTCAAGTGAAACAGACAGAAGAAAAAGCCTCTCTTTGGTCAAACTGACCAACACCCAGACACTGGTTTCATTTTAAAGGGTGAACTGGTCAGCCACTGACTGAACACTGTGAACTCCAGCATCTAATACAACAGACACATTACTCATCATGGATCTGTTTCCTGTGCACAGCAATAAAAATGAAACTTGATTAACTCACAATCTTACACTAGTTTCCTGCAAGAGCCATTTTCATCTGTGTAACTGACCATGAACAAAACAAAAGCTGGGAGCAGCTTGAATGCAAAACAGAAACATTTTAATTGTTCAGATAAAGCACCAGTAAAAGATAATGAAACTTTAAATGTGCAGGACACAAAAATGTCATATATATATATATATATATATATATATATATATGTTGTTTTCAAGGGAACAACATATTCTCTCTCTTTGAGCCCTACCTCAGGAAGATGCTACCTGACAGCTAAATCCACAGCAGAGAACCAGAACATGTACTTTCTGTCTGCAAAAAGTGAATTTGCATCAGCATTAATGGGAAGTCTCCTTATATAATATCTGCTTTGCACTTCTTCCAAACTGCTTGCTTCTCTTCTTCTCTGTCTACAGGGGAATGAAACTGTGTCTTCGGAAGAAAAGAGAAAGGGAAGAAAAACCAACACTATTCAGATCTCGTAAAGGGACCCAATCTACACCCAGAATTACCTTGTAGCTTCTTTTCTAATATATTTCAACAATTAGTCACACCTGTCTGGAGTGATTAGAGGATTGGACTTTGTCACGGCATGAGGTAAAGTCAGTGGCATGTACGCCTCGTGCCACTGCTTGAACTATGGTAGAAATCTGGGCGCATGTTCACTCAAGTGTCATTTACTTGTCGTAGCTTACAAGCTCACCTTCCTCTTTCCTCCTCATTTTCTTCGCACACTGGTGCATTTGAAAAACACACCTCTCGCCGGTCTTTACTCTCCTCTTTGGCCTCTCTCTTTTCTTCGCTGCTCTTTCATCTCATCTCTCTGTTTCTTGCTCCAGGTACAAAGAGTGCCTTCTGGCTAATAAAATTTGACAAGCATAGCTAACCTTTTTTCTCCACAGGTCAGCCTCTAGCATGGCTCTAATCAAATGTGACGCCCATCACTGCACACACCTGCCATTGAAGGCCTAATGAAAATGTCCGACAGTAAATTAAGTAGACAGCACTAGGAGTCCTCTGTTGAGGGCCTTGACAGAAGGGGGGGGGGGGCAAAACTATGCAAACACACGCAGGTTATGCATGGACGCGGAGGCATGGACACTTACCCTTGAAAACATTTAGATAAAGCTAAATGAACATTAGGGATTTCAGAAGCACACACTATCTCCCACATGTATAATGAGCACGTCTCTTCCTACAGCATCATTAAAACAGTGTCATGCAAAAGATGAAAGAAACAGACGCGTTGTTCCCTTGGAAACAATAAAAAATCTCACATGCCACAGCTATGAAGGAGTGTTTTGTAGGAGCACGAGGTACTCTGAAATCGGAGAAAAGTACGCTCGTTTGCACTTCAACTTATAGATGCACACACAGTGTCACACACAGCAACTTAGCTTGGACCAGTCATTTTTGTGCGGTGGTATAAAACTCACCGGACCACACACAGTATTGTTGCTAGGTTACGCTGGGCTTCCTTGCAGAAATATTACATGTGGGTGGCTGTGTGTGTGTGTGTGCGCGCGTCTATTTCTGACCGTGAATGAAAGGCACAGGGGGGGCGGGGTGGTTTCCAACCTCATGGCTGCCTGTGTGTGTGTGTGTGTGTGTGTGTGTGTTTTAACAGATGTATAGACTTTGTGAATGAGTGCCCTCGTCCAAGCCGCAGGTGGTCGAAGGTGAATGGAAATACTGGAGCCAGCAGTGAGGGGGGAGCATGTGTGAGTGGTGGATGTGGGATGTGAATGGGTGTGACCATGGGATACACCTGGCCTCATCCAACATGGCCAGATTTGGTATTTAAAGGAAAATTCTGGCTTATTACAACTTGGGTCTTGTCCATCATTCTCTCAGCAAACTGTTGGGAGTACAATTTAACTCTTTGCGTTCGTATTGTTTCATGTTTTTGGCCCTGTTGCACTTGGCTGTAGTGTATAGTCACACATAGTTTCATCTTTAACTGCAAGGAGCTATAGCTTTTAAATTACTTAAACAAGAGTAAATAGTGCAGTTATTGGGGACTACTTTTATCTGCGGATTAACACACATTAGTGACTATTTATTCTTATGCCAAAGTGTTGGATCCTTGTGGTGGACCATGAAATAGCAATGACCCTGGTTTGACCCCAGCTCCTGCTACACAACCAGCACTTGTTAGTACAGAAGGATCAATTCATTATTAGTTTTGGTCTTTTTATGGGATTTGTTGTGTCATTACTTGAGCACATACTTCTCGAAGAAATCACATGAAAACCAACATGTGCAGTGTGACCGTCCACTTACAACATTATCGGACATTTATTTCTGTCTTTCTTTGTCTCTGGGGAGCGCCATCACATACAGAGTTAACGAGATCCTCATCCATCATGCTAATGCTAAAGACTATCTGATATACATTAAGAGCAAACAAGGGAGGGAGAATGGACAAGTGACACAGTGAAAGAGACACAGAGACGGAGAGAGACTGAGGGAGAAAGCAAGGAGAGGGAGAAAACAGGCTGGTAATGAAGTACCCACCACTAGTGGATGAGAGCTAAAGTGGTCTAACAGATCTGTCAGGCTGCTAGACTGTGGCTAATTATCCCTCCTCCTCTTTTGTCTGCATCCTCTCCTCTGTCACTTCTTCTCTCTCGAATTTACTCAGCCTATCTAACACATTTTCTCTCCCTCTCTCCCTCCGTTTTGGCTCTGTCTTTCTTCCCTCTTTCCCTACACTCTTTTCCTGCTTTCTCTTTTCTCTCTCTCCCTCCGTCTGTCACTTCTTTCCATTCCCATCTGTCTCCTTTCCATGTCCAACCTTTCCCTCTCTGTATCCTCTCTTTCTCTGGATTAGATTGGGTGTCTGGGGCTTAGTTTTTGATTTGCAAGTCAATAGTAATTTCTGTCAAGAGTTTAAGTTGAGGGAAGTTTTAATGTGGCCTGTATTATTTCATACGGGAAATGATAAATTTGCATTAGAATCCTCTCTAGATTTTCTCCTTTCTCTCTCTCACAAGCAAAAGAGGCTGCAAGTTAAACTATCAGGTTTCAAAAAACTTCAGTAGTAATGATATGGAGGAAATGACAACCTTGATATGCCTTGAACTTCTGCAAGCATTAACCTTTCTGTTATACTCAAATTAAGGGGCTCTGACACCCCAATATTATACTAAATTTAAAGTGTTACTTGAATGCAAGTAAATATTTTCATTATTCTACTTAAATTGCCCTTAGGGGATTCCACCATTCATTCCTACCATACAGTAGCTGTAGGTGTATTCGAGTCATAAAATATCAAAAAGTGTAAGTTTATATGTTCAGGATCAATGTGAACAAACAATTTATTACAATTTGAAAGGAATATTAGAAAATCAAACTCCAGAACCCTGGATTTAAAATTCAATATTGACTATGAGCTTAGACTACAAAATGCCAGAGCATCAGAGAGAGTCAAAGACTTTGCACTAAACATTAAAAACTATGGCTTTATTATTTCTCAAGTTTATTATTTAACTTTTTGTCTCTTAAAATAGAGGGACTACAGTATGTCTCAAATCAAATTAAAGCTGAGATTTAGCACTTAAACCTGACAGCCATTGTTTCATTGCTTCATTGTCAACACAATGAAAACATGTCACTGTGTTCAGTGCATTTATATATATATCAGTCATCATATGACATCCATGAACACCTCAGATTGTCTTGAGTAATTCCAGTCATATTGATTTTGTGTTCATATCTGTATCTGTACAAGATGCATCTGGTGGTCTGAGAGGCGCGGCGGCTTGAAATTCAAACAACATTAAGTTGAAGAGACGGCTGAGCGGAGGCAACCTTGTGCTTTCAGCGATGTGTTGAGCTGCACCTGGGTGATTTTTATATGGATGTGTGTGTGTGTGTGTGTGTGTGTGTGTTTGCGCACATAAGAGAGAGGATTTATTATTTGTAGAACATAGTTTTGAAACACATATTGAGCCCTTAGCAGGATTTTAAACGAAAGGAAAAACATACAAAACATTAATATTCCTCCATATTTTATGCCTGGCAGTCAAACTGACCCCACACAAACTCTTTGTAAGTATCAACATGTTCAGATTGATACTGACATGTTCTTGTGTAATAGAAAGTAAAAATGATTTGAATTGCACTTTTAGAGATTTTAGCTTTGCTGAAGTCAAAATGATCACAGACGTAACAAAAGAGTTGCATGAATGATGCATTGCACTAGTGTGTGTGTGTGTGCATATGTGAGGCTGTTACAACAGTGGAAGCGTGCATTCATGTTTTATGCATTTACCGGCTTGGCGGACCATGAATGTAGATATGTGGAAATACTCTCTTGCTCATGCTGGTCAAGCAGTGGCTCCCGACCTTGTGTACACTCTGCGTATATATGCTGCAGCAAAGATGCAAATGCTATACGCACATTTAAAAAACAAACGCAGAGGTTTTACGCTACTTGAGAGGTAAAGCTATGAGAGAACAAGCAGAAATGCATCAGTTTGGTCCTCAGAAGCCTTTTCCCCAAGCTCATCCCTCCTCTCTCTCACCTGTCTGCTTGCGTGTGATGCTGGCTCTGCACAGCGGCTGGGTGTCTGGGCTTGTTGACCTTGGCGTAGAGCCCGTCCAGCTCCTCAGAGGAGGCCTGAGGCAGGTGATGCCCCGCTGTTGTTGCCGCAGGGGAGGGCGTGCGACTAATGAATGACTGAGGCGAGGGTGGCTGGCGGAAGTTGTTGATGCGGGCGTAGTTGGGGTCACTGTCGTCGTCTTCCACGTCGGGGAGGGAGGCCGGGTCCGGGGTGACGTGGCCGGAGTGGATCTCGGTGTAGCGTGGATCGTAGCTGTCGGACAGTAAGGGGAGGAGGCAGCTAAGCATGAACCTGAGACTGTGGTGCGACAGACAGTGGTGCTACACATACAACTGAGCAGTTATTTCGAGGAGCGGGCGGGTGCATGCTGCTGCATTCCTAACTTGTCAGGTAAGGTGTCAATAACAGCCCTTTGCTACACTGACAAATGCATTTCTATGATCGTGTGAACTTTCTGGCTCTCTCAACACTTCCTGTTTTGTAATCCTCTCTGTTTTTGACACTGAAAACCAACACAGTGATTCATACCCATCTCTGTTGTCAGGGATCCTGTCCACTTCCTCTTCGCTCAGGGCCTCCAGTTTGCTTTTGGATGCTTTTGCTGCTTCTTTGCTCTTGTCTTCTTTCTTCTTGCCGAACCTGGGCAACACAAGCAGAGACACAGACGCAACGAGGTGAATTTTAATTGACCTGAGTGATTCTGCGATAAGGGAAACTGATGGTGTGTGAGCTCATCCCTGCAACTTTCCAGTTCATTTCAATGATCTCAAAACCTCAGGTAGATAATACTGCAGTCTACCAAACATGCTTTTATTTTGGAGGCAAGGTTTATGCTCTTTAATAGGAGACTTTTATGATGAAACTATAAACTTCACTCGAGCAACACAGCTTGCATGAGTTGATGAAAGAGGTTCTCTAACTCACACAACATGCAAACACAACACACACTCCACCTTGCATCAGTTTTCCAAATGTTGACACACACATACACACTCCCGCTGCTCGACAAAATCATTCTTACTCCCGTGCATTCCTTCGTGGCTGTGCCTGGAAAAAGACAGCTTAATGATAGATATGAGTATAATGCCACAGCAGGCACTGACAATCCACAGTGTGAGTGTCTGTCTGTGTGTGTGTGTGTGTGTGTGTGTGTGTGTGTGTGTGTGTGTGTGTTTGTGTGTGTGGGCACATGAAAAAGGGGTACAGTTGTCGTGCAGCATATGGAGCATGAATATTTTAACATTTTGTCCAATAAAATAGCTGTTACATCACAGTGGGTTATGCTTCTCTTATCAACTTTGCCATTACGGCCATCATCATCATTATCATTCCGGAGCTCTTACTCTCTCATTTCACAGGGAAAATAAGTTCGCCACCTCTGTACGAGTTCAAATGAAGCTCTGCGTCACACTTTCAAGAAATTAACCAAGGCGTTTTCTCTAAATGTTTCATATTCTATCTCTTCGTCACATCGTCTTTCTCCCCACACCCGCCACCCTCTCTCTCGCCTCCTTCGTCTCACCCGCCAACCTACTTCTTTTTTTTTTCTCTCGCCCTCTCTTTTCCTTCGAGCTCCTGCTGAGCACAATCTAATGTCTGTGTTTATCTCATTAACAGCGAGGCACTTCTCATTACTGCTACAGGCAGATACGCAGCCTGAATGGTAACCTGCTGGCCTGGCTGAGTGCAGCACGCAGAGCTTCAGAGCTGAACTGAAACCTGGACAGGGATGCCACGTTGGCCTGGCACCATCCCGCACACCAATTAGTAATGTTTTTAGCAAATCTACTCACTTCGCTTTCATCTGTGTGGGTTACAGCCGGCCAGGTTGCTGTGACGAAGGTAATCAAGTAATATTATTTTGATATAGTTACTAGTCATATGGCTGGACACTGTGTGAGGTTGCTTATGTACACTGCACTTGTAATTGTAAGTATTGCATTCCCCCTCCTGGTCAATGCCCCTATCTTTGAAGCTCAACGTCCTCAGTTTGTAACACAGATTTTCTGTTCACGGCCGTGCATTTAACGGTGAACCCACACAAATTATTCTGGCTGATAAAAGCCTCTTCTCCTACAGACTGAGACAAATCACTCCCTCATTATTCTTACTAATACAAGGAGTCAGGTGACCTCACGTAGCTCTGCCCAACTTCAACCTGAGCTGAAGGGGCCTTTAAGGCTGAACTTAAGTGACCCTGATGACATCATCTGGATTTCTTTTTCAGCCATGCCGTATTATACAGCTGTTTTCGCCGGCTGCATAAGCTGAGTGCTCCCACCCATGACTGATCTTAATGTGTAAAAGTGGTATAATTTCCCCTTAAAGCAAGACAGGCACTGACTACACTTTCCCCTGATCTTTCTGCCATTTTAGGAAGTTTAAATCTGTCATCTGCAACATCCCTGTTTTATTTTTATTTTTTTTCTTCGGGTGATATCACTGGTGTTAAGCCCTTGTTGCTGTAATGTTTGTGCACCTTACTTTCTAGAGATCACTTGCCACGGAAACAGTGTGGGCGCTGCCGCAGCATCTTTTTTTCTGCAGATTTTTTTTCCTTTTTTTTTTTTTTTTCCCTCTTGGAACTATTTTGATTTTCTAAGCACTCCCACATTATGCCAGAGCCGCTAAACGCAGACTACCAATTACCTCAGTGATAACCATATAGAATGCAGTAATGGTGGAAAAGGAATATCAGCACTATTCATCTTAGTATGCAACAATAGACAATATAATTATATTACACATAAATATATGATTATCCAAAATCCCAGGTTTATCTAGCTGAGCTGCCAGGTAGATTCACCCCACCTCCACACACACACACACACACACACCCACACCCACACCCACACACATACACACAGCTTTAATCAACATGCCGAGGGGGCAGAGGTCCACAGTTGGACCCATCATTATATCTGCATTAATTAGGAAAGCCTCTTTTTCTCACTGCATTGTCTGAAAGGAGATGGAAGGAAAAGGAAAAAGGGGGAGACGTAGAATGGGAGTGGGACTCCCAATTAGAGACATGTACCTGCCATGAGGGAGGTGATTATCCCCCACTCTCCCATCATCTTATCCCTTCTTCGTTGCAAAAAGTCCCATCTTTTCCCATTGAGCCAACTGTTTGTTAGCGATGTCTCATTGCTTTCCTTTCTCTCTCTGTCTATTTTTTTTTTATTACTTTCTCACTGTTCTTTGTTTTATTTATTAATTCTCTCTTCTTAGGACTTTTTCTGCTCTGTCACTCTTTCAGAAATTTGACAGTTAATTTCCTGTTGAGAGCTCGACTGCTGCTGGATAAAAAAAAAAAAAAATGACAGATCTATACTCTGCGAGCACAAGCAGAGGTAAGTAAAAGCACAAACACACAATAAACACAAGTAACTCAGGCACACACACAGTTATCTAGATTGCTCTCACACACAGGTAAGCAGCCACGCACACACACACACACACACACACACACACACACACACACACACTCAAGTAGACAGCAATATACATCAACACAGGCAAACACACGCGGTAACTCTGTAGGGAACTGCAAACACTCTCATGGAATAGGACATCTCATTAACTTAGCATTATCTACCTACACAACCACTCCATCAAACTCTCATTAGGGGGACGTAGGGGGTCCGGGTGAGTCAGGCTGCTCTGGTGTCCCATTTAATACACTCCCCACTGTCACACGAGCTACTGGGAACCATTATTACTGTGTCGCTGTCATCATTAGCAAGCCGCGCCTGCCGTCACCCCTGCGTCACCTTGGTGTCACCTCGGCGGGCACGGGAGCCTGAGAGGAGGTGATGCTGGCTGTTCAGTTTGTACTGAACTCTGGGAAAGAGAGTTCCTGCTAGTGTGTTTGTCATGGTTTACACTATTAAAAAATATTTTTTTAAATTCTTTTTCTCAGAAGAAATTTGTCATACTTCTTGAAAAGCCAATGACCTCTCCTCTCCTCTTCTTCTCCTTCCTTTTGCCATTTGCTTGAATCACCTGTGAAAGCCCAAGACAGCCATCATGCAGTAGACAGTGACTAAATCAACACTCTGACTTGGACGAACGCAGCCAGCCAGTCGCGCAGGAAATTCGCTGCAAGGTAAGCTGGCTGCTAAGAAACTGGACTGACTGTAATTAAAACAGCTACTGTCATTCTCATTACTGAAGAGGGGGTGGGGGGGTGGGGGTGACATGCATGCGCTCAGTTAGCCATGCTCTAATGAGGCTCTATATCTAACATGGAGATCACAGCTAGCCAGTGTGGTGATGCCACCAACCTGACCTGTGCAATTAGCCCTTCAAGGAGGGAGGGACAGGGGCAGAGGGAGCACGGGAGCTCACTCTGTTAGACAAACTTAACTATTACACATAATTTTCTTAACAAAGTGCGTCAGGTACCTGCAGCTAAGGAACTAAACTAAACTCTCTGCGGACTAAACAGCGTCATTTTTGGACTTTTCTCCATGAAATGTCTCCAGAAAGCATCTCTTTGCATCCGTTCTCAGCGTTCGCCGCGCTTTGTTTCCTGCAGTTGTGACAACAACTCTGGCAGTGTGCAGTGTGAGTTGAGTGTGTATAGTCTTAATAAGCCTCCCTATCTGGTGCAGCAGGGAGTCAGTGGGTGGCTAGTTATCGCCAGGCATAACGAGGAATGTGAGAAGCCTGTCTGCCGCTGTGGATGTGTGCGTGCGTGCGCGGAGGAAGTCATGTTTTTCAGGACGAGGACGAGGCTTTAATTGACGCGTGTGTATGTGTACATTATGTGTGTGAGCTCACAACACCTTGGCATACAGTGTTTGAGGTGAGGCGCGCACACACACACACACACACACACACACACACACACACAAACTGACAGTCTCATCTCTGCAAAGAAGCTGGTTTAGCATCCTGGCTTCTTTGAGGAGAGAGGGAAGAAGAGAAGGAGCAAGGAAACAAAGCAAGGAAAATAATAACAATCCTTATTGTGGGTCACTTTTCAGACACCAGGTTACAAACCGCTTCACAAAACCAAACAGATGATGAAAAAACATGACGTAATACCATAAAGTTATGTACAATAACAACAATAAAACAATAAAGCAAAATACCAGATAAGAGTCAACTCAGGTAAAATCATGAAAAACCCCAAAAGAAACAAGTGAAAACTTAAGATTTAAAAGATGATTCAACCAGCCTTTCTTCACTCCACAGCCTCGGGGGCCCTGACTGCAAAGACTCGGTCCCCTCTACTTCTAAGCTGGGACTCTGGAACCGTCAAAAGAACCTCTGGCCATGGATCTTAAGCTACATACAGGCTCATGTGGAATAAAAGTTTAGAAATATAAAAGTGCAGGCCTTGAAGGAGCCTTAAAAGCACTCAGCAGTATCTTAAAATCATTGGAGTTCACGCTGCAGCAGATTCTGGATAAATGACAACGAGATCAGAAGTTCTGCAAATATTCCAGTGTCGGGTTTTCTGGCCAGTTGATTTACTTTTTCCTCCTTCGAGTACACAGGCAAGTATGTTGTCTACATTTATGCATTGGTGAAAAGCATCATGTGGAGCCTGGCAGCTAAGCTCTGTTGTCGCTGAAAAGATTTTTGGTTAAGGTAAATGGAAACAGCCACTGCAACTATGAAGGCGTAAG